CATAAACAGATCAATATTATTTCTGGCAGCCGAAATTACAATCAAGTATTTAAAATGATTCAAACATAAAGGTATTATTAAATGAGTGGCGTTAAGACATTACTGTTGCAGAGTGTTTAAGGATTGTGAAATAAAGAGTTGAAATAACCTTCAAAGTCTACTGTAAGTGCAAAATAGCTAAATGCGTCTTGGTACCATAATGAATACCTTATTAAACAGTCCTTAATTTTGAAAAGTTGCCAATAAAATCACAACCATATCACAAACCGGGATGATTCCAAATTGAGTTAAACTGAACGAAGAACAGTTTGCCGTTAATTCCCCATTTGTACTTAAATTTTGCGATTTTTCTCTTTTTTCGCCATTGCTTAGATAAGAATAATACAATTATTAACCATCTTGGTCATTTTCTTTCTAAGAGGACTTGGAGCAACTGTTTAAAAACTAAACCCAATTAAAATATTTTCCAATCTTTCCTTCATTTCACGTCCTCTTCATCAGGAAGTGAGTACTAAATGCAACAGAAACATGATTTCCAAAACATACAAATAGATAGGGATATAAAATTGTAAATAAGTAGCCTTTGCAGCTTTCATTTGCAATTGAATGAGCAATCCCAGTCTTTTTGTACCCCAAAGTAGACGGTATTCATGAGGAATGCTAATTGCTCATCACAGATCACGTGAAATCTTCAAAAGGCTGAATGCTTTCTTTGTAAAGGTTTGAAGGGTGAATTTAAGTATGTGTGTAATCAATTTTCACATTAATAAGTCGGGCTATTAAGTAACGTCATATGATCTCTACTGCGATACCCAAATCTCTTAAAGATACAGTCATTCATAGGACTGAAAGCCAATCACAATATTTTCCGGAATGAAAACAAGGAAAGGAAATGTTTGCGGCATTTAATTTGCTGAAACAACTGGAATATGCGCTCATGCACTCAATCGTCAACAGGTTCAGTGAAACTTCCGATAAAAATTATGGTGTACTTAAAAGGTCAGTCGGTTAGAAACATTGTTGATACTCAACCGGAAGACGTCAACCAAGATCAAAATTTATTTATTTAGCCTAATAAAAAGTTTTTTCTCAAATGAAGTTGAAATTCTCTGACAAATTTCGAGGTCAACCCCTCTGATTTCTGTGATGCACTTACAGGCTATATTATACGTTGCTTACATAAGCCGGTAGTTTCTTACGGGAATCAACTTGGAACGGGTCACTCTTTTTTGAAACCCAAGAGCAGTTTCACTATCATTTACATATGTCTATAAATATTTTTCGCTAATTTAGATAACGAAGGACACGTGTAAACAAATAGTTTTAATGTGATTAAATCAAGCAAAAGGAATGAGAGAAGAAAGCTTAAAGGAAAACTGACTCCTGTAATATTTACTCTATGGAGATCACTCATTGTCATCAATGGTGCAGAATCGTAAATCAAATTATTCCGATGCAGAGAAGGCAATAATACAGAGGCTAAATAGCCTCTTTTCTTTTTCTTTTCTTTTTTTTCAAGGCGATTATTAAGAACTTCCCATGATAAAGATTTTAATGAAACAAAGGTCAGTTAGGGTTACTATCTCGTTTTTGAGCAGCGCATCGACAAGCAACTAC